AAAAATAGAGTTTCTGGATCTCAGGATTGTCTCCAAGAGAAGCTCAGTATAAAATAGCCTTTCGTTATCTTGCCAACATAACTCTAATCTTTTCTTTTAGCTTTTAGTCTGAAAGAAAACTTTTATGGATGTGATATTGATTGGTGTCTGAACGAGAATGTCTGGGAAAATGGTTCACACACTTTTTTTTTTTTGGTAAAGGTCATGTTGTTTATTACTGTATTAAAATTGAAAATTTAGGATTTTTTTATTTTTATTTTCTAAGTTTAGAGACTAAATGAACTTAATCATCATAGTTTTCAGACTAAATTTAATTTAACTTAATATTTTTGTAAGTCGGGATTTTATTGATAAAAGTTATGAAGTATGGAAAACATAACCAGAGAGAATGGTTGAGGATCACAAATATAAATTATAGAATCTATTATATGATGGAGGATAATGTCACCAGAAAAATTTTGAAACGCTTTGAAAATATCTAATATGCATATTATAATAAATTAGAATATAAACACACATCAAATTGTTATATATTATCTAAAGCAATAATGTATCAAAACTAAAAGATCGTGTATGATGATAAGCTTTTGATATATTTACTCTTTTATAAATATTTTATACATTTTTTATCCATTGAATTATGCAGAATTACATGAGAGTATTGTCCAAACTTTAGAAAACATGCTACACAATCATCTTCCAATTGATCATCTTATTCAATTATTGAATAATTATCCAAAGCATGCCTAGTTTGCCACATTTCCAATAATAATAATAATAATAATAATAATAATAATATATATATATATATATATATATATATATATATTTTAATGTGTAAGCATAAAATATGCTAATTGGAATGAACATAAAGTTTGATGAGGGCAAGATTATATTCACCTGCTTGCCACCTAATTTCATAGTGCGAACATCTCTTCTTTTCGATTAAATAGAGTGATTAGGAAGATGCTTTCTTATCAAAAATCTAATAGGTAATTTCGTAAAAGGTTGGTCGAATTAGTATTTTATGTTGCATCAAAGTATTGTATGTATGAGGTGTGAATCATGAATTTATTGTTATAAGGAAAAAAAATATCAAAATGTTATAAATATAAGGTGCTAATTGAGCTAATGAAGAAAATGGGAAAACAAAGTTCTAATATATAAACAATATAATTTTGTAACTATATAAAAACGAAATGGAAAATAACCTTACTAATAATACAAGGACCATATATAAACATGTAAAATTACACCCAGACCACACCAAAACTCTTGACTTCTTGACCATTCATTTTTCAACTTATTAGGGGAACGTTTGCTAGGAGCCCCGCAACTCCCTTTATTGCTTGCTTTGACACGAGATTCATGAAATAAAATAGTAGATTATCGAGTGAATGGAATAAGTTATGTACTCTGTAGTATTATAAATTTTTCCATACTCAAAGATGTTATGTTTCCAATAAGAGTGAAGAGTGGCTTTCGAATATTCCGATTTGGCTTGTATTGATGGCCATAAGGTATTTTTACTCCTCTGTTTAATAAAGTTTTATTTAATAAAAAAAAATTATAAATTTTCCCACTCGAATAAATATGTTCAACATCTAGTGGCTCATTTATAGGTGATAATCATATGTTCGAATCTTCCCCGATTTCTATTTGAGAGAAAATATTTGATGTACTAATATTGTAGTTACATAACTCCTTCTACTAACCTCTAGTCAAGTAATCAATATAATATTGTGAAATCTACTCTTTTAATTTATTTTAGTTGATCGGAGTATTTACTATGTTAGTACTATAGAGTTGTTGAAGCAACACTAACGTCTTTTTAATTTGAATAAACCTAATACACCTAATTTCAAAAATATATTTAAGCAAACTTCCGTTGATATTTTGAACAAAAAATTGATGTGGTAGAGAATTAGGTAATTGACTTCTAAATTTTGTCAAAAACGTATTTTTACTCCATTATCAAGAGAGTTTGCTTCTTCCTAATCTCCCTTTTAAAAAAATGATAGGTTCTCCAGGCAAACTCCTATGTTAATTGTAATGAAATTACATAGTCTGTCATATTACGTTAAAAATATTACATATATTTGCTCTGATTTGTATTTTTAAACGTTTATGAAAGGTTTCGTAGAGATTTTTTAGTCATATTTTGGCAAAGCAAATATACTACAGCTACAGCCTACGATGTGTAGACGATGTAGAGCATTTATTTACAAAAGACCTTTATATGGAGAGAGAGAGACGTAATTAATGGTATTGATAATTGGAGGAGTGGGCGGTGGGGTGGCGGATGGCAGCGGAGCAGCCTATTCCGGCGGCCCCAAAAAGCCTCCAAAAACCATTCTGTTGCTTTGTCAGACCCATCCACACCAATTTTTCTTCATATATATCATTTATTTATTATTCCACTCCACGTCATTTTTGAATGATATTTATGTAACTCACAATGAACGGAGAAATTTCTTCTAGTATTATATTTACTGCTTGCCACACAATATTATATTAAAAATGATTTAGAGTCCATAAATATTAAAAAATTATTGACAAAATCACAGTGGGAACAAAGAGATCGTGTATGGTCCCAGTAATTAATGAAGGCCAGTAGTATGAAAAAAATTTCTAGTACTGCATCTTTTTGTAAACTCCAATTTATTATTTGCATAACTAGGCCCACATAATAAAATAATATATTATTATGTGTCATATAGTAAATGTAAGTAATATGTACCCAAATCTTTTTTCAATGATATCCATATTCTTGTAATATTGAAATTTTTTCTTTCAAACAACAAAATAATTCATTCATACTACACAACACGGATATTGTTGATTTTTTTCATTTGTTTCGTATGTCATCTAGATTTTGTTTCTTGTTCTATATTTACTTAATCAAATTTGTTTTTTAATTTGAAATTTTAAAATGAAAAATTATTTCACAATTTTTTTGTTGGATAAATATACTTTTTCATGTTATAAATTCATTTTGTTTTTGTTAAAATTAAAATTATATAATACTATCAAATAATAATCACATAAATTAATAATATTTAGTTGGTAAATACCACTCATTCATAAATATATTACTAAACACATTTTTAACCCTTTCTAAAATTGATATTCAAGTTTTAAATTTGTTATCAATTACGCGTGTTTGAAAAGATGGAAAGATACCATAAAACTCTACTTTTTATTGAATAAGATATCTATTTTAAAATTAATTACCAACCAAACCCAATTTTCTTGATTTTGAAGGCAATTCCAGTACAATTTCACAGTCCCACCCAATTCCAACTCCCTTCCATGCCAATTACCCATTTTTCTCGTGGAAAAAGAAATACTGCAAAAACTACCTCAATCAAAATCTCCATACTATTCCATTTCAAAACTTTCAATGGTTACTCAAACCTATAAACTTGTTGCAATAACCTTAAAAAATGCACAAATTACCCCCATAACCTAAAAAAATCATATCAACAGTACTAATATCGACATAATTGAATTGGTTAAAGCATCAAACTTTCCGAAGCAACAAACCCGAAATCTCACAGCTCCCACACCCCATGTTTGAGCTCAAAAAGGGGAAAAGTGATCATTACAATTGAACCCTCAAATAATATGAACTAAATTATTGCAATTGAACCTACCTACAGGCTACAACTACTGTTTAATGGTAATCTAATTAGCCCAAATAAAAAAACTGAAACTTTTTTTTTTCTCTTTTGATTCATATATAGTTGTGCAATTGCTGCGCCGGCAATGAGGCTTTTGGTGAGTTTCCATTTAAACTAAAACCAACCTTTTTCTTTTGCCTCCACTTGCCGCAGCGCGCGCAAGGGAAGGGAATAGAGGTTCATCAGAACAGAACATGACACAGCAGCAAACCATGATTGCTTGCGGCTCTGGCCCTACTCTCCCACCTCTTCAAAGCCCCATCCACAGCCGAAATCAGCTTAAATATGAGGCAGAGAAACACAGAAGAATTCCTCTTCCTTTCTCTACTCTCATAATGTGGGCCTACAGCTGCATATAGCCTAACAAAAACAATATTAAATTGGGGTTTCAAACTCCCCTTTTTCGTACAGTTTATGATTCTACTCATTCCCCGAGCTCTCTCAGCTCTGCTATGAGCCTAAGTCCTGACCACCCATCAAGTTATTTGTGGGTGCGGTTTTCCTGTCTATTTTCTCAAACAAAAACCTCATTTCTCATTCATTTATTCATTCTCATAGGGCAGACCCAAAAAAGTACCTTGTAAATTTGAAGCTGCGTCCTTCTCTTCACTTTATCCACCTACAGCTTGGACCATCCATAGCATAGCCCACAAACTTTGCTCATAACCGCACTTGACTGCGAAATCTCTCTCTCTGAGGAATTTCGTCGAACAGCTGGTGGGCAAAGTTGAGAGTGATTAGAATAAAAGATATGGCAGTGTGGGTTTCTGCAAGGCCTATCATTAGTGGAACGTAGTTAAATGATTAATACTGAGATGGGATTTGTGTTTGAAGCAAATAAAATATGATACATCAGGGCCTAGCCAAAAAAAAAATCATTCCTCTGATAAAAGTCGTTGTCCAAAAATTCATCATAAATGTTTTGGCATGCAGAAAAATGACTGAGATGAGTTGGAAGAAAGGCACAAAGAGTCAGAATCAACAGCCTTGTCATCTGTCAAAATTTGTACATTTATTGATCAAAAAAGAAGAAAGCACCTCCACGAGTCTTGTCTTTGTGCACCATTCACCTTGCCCACCGTTACCTTACCAAATTAAACTGCCATGCCATCTTCCTCACTCCTAAATCCTAATTACCCTTTTAACTCTTTTCAATTTTCATCATCCAATTCCAACTTAAAAGGTAGAATTTTGTTTATTTTTTCCCATGGATTCATTTGTGTCGTGGGTTCATTCAAACATTTCTA